CAAAAACAAAAACTTCCCGAACAAAAAACAGAAAAACGATTAATCAAACTTTCTTGCATTTAAAATTCTTCTTGAAGATACCCCTTGTTGCCTTTTGTTCTGCAAACTGATTCATCAAACTTTCATAATCAAGGTGTTTAACCATGTCTTTTTCAATCGATAACATAGCCAAACCGTTCAACCTTTCTTGAGACATTGTTGATCGTAAGTAAGACTTGATCAACTTTAGCTTCGAAAAGCTTCTTTCTGCCGAGGCGACTGAAACCGGAATTGTGAGCATAATCCTATACGCAATCCATGTATTCGGATAGCAGTCCTTCAACCTCTTCAAAAATTCTAATACCTCAGCAGTCTTTTTGATATATTCTGGTAGAATTTCTCGAAAAACTTTGATTTCAAAGAATAAATCAATCCCATCAATATCTGAACGTGATCCATGTTTAAGAGAAACTTCAAGATTCATACATGATTCTTTTAAGCTATCATCGTTTGCTGAGTTGAGTTTTCTCAGATCGAACAAAAAACCAAAAGTTTTCTCATACTCTTGAAATTGGTCTAACCTTGTTTGAAGAGAAACTAGAGCTTGATCCATGATTTTGATGAAATACTCGATTCTAAATTTCTCCTCCTCGCTCAAAACTATGCTTTCATCATCAACTTGTCTTGGCTCTTCATCAAAATGAGTTCTCCTTTTAGTAAGGCGCTTCCTTTTCACATGAAAGATGGGATCGATCTCCATTACAACAGCAATTTTTGTGGCCTCAACCTTTGCTGCTTCAAAACCAGTTTCTCTATACTTTTGAAAAAAAGAGACTAACCCTTTTAGTTGAGTAATCGCTGCATCAATATCTATATCTTCACTTTGCAAAGTCTTGCTCACAATATTCACGGCAGCCAAAATCTCATACCATATAACAATACCAAACAGAAACTCAAATCCTCCAATTCCATGAGTTTCGCTTATCGCGAGACACTCAGCATCACTCCGAGTTTTAGGATCTTCAGTGTTTTCAACCAAAAAAAACAGCGCATCACGGATTTCTGGAGCTTGAAAGCGTATAGCTTTAACGCTTTCAATATGACTTTCCCAACGAGTATCTGATAAGGGTTTAAGCGTAGGACCTCCTACCATTCTCTTGTATATATCCCACCTAGTCGTAGAAGGCGAAAACAAACAGTATAAACGTTGGATGATCCCAAAAAAATCAGTTGCTTTTGTAGATGATTTAGCCATATCACAAAGTGCCAAATTCAGATTATGGCAACCACATGGCGTATAAAATGCTCGTGGATTAACATCAAGCATTCTTCTTTGTACTCCTTTATTTTTCCCCTTCATATTTGAGCCATTGTCGTAGCCTTGTCCTCGCACATCATCAATGTCCAAGTTAAGATCAGCCAATGTATCACAAAGTAAATCAAACAATCCTTTTCCTGATTTATCAACAACTTCCAAAAAGTGAATGAAATATTCTTCTACCTGAGTTGAATCCATATCCACACATCGAATGATAAGAGACATTTGCTCTTTGTGACTAACATCTGGAGTACAGTCCAGAATAACTGCAAAATACTTCGCCTCTTGAATCTTCTTAATGATCTTAAGCTTCATCTCTGATCCCAACATTGCTATCAATTCATTCTGAATCTTGTGGCTGAGAAAATGGTATTGAGTTTTTTTCTCTTTGATACGCCTAATGTGCTCCTTGATCACTAGATCAAAATCTCCAAACATTTCAATAAAGCTAAGAAAATTCCCATTGTTATTCTCGCCAATCTTCTCATTGCTTCCACGGAAAGCTATATTGCATTTAGCCATAGTTTTTACTAGTGAGAATAATCTCAATAAAACTTCTCTCCAATGATTCTTCTCTTTCTTGATTTCTTCTTGGGCACACTTATCAATTGTTATACCCTTTTGCAATCTCAGTTCCAATTCCATCCATTGGCTCATGCACACAATGTGACCATGACTACTTTCATGTTGGCAAAGCCTTACTGTAACATTGTTCCAATCCTTGAATCCTATGCTAGCCAATTGAGTAGTATCCTTTTCTCCTCCGAACAGCTTGCAACAAAAGCAATAGATTTTCTCTGATTTTTTTGAATAGACTAGCCAACGTCTATCTTGTGTATCACCATTCTTCATTGGCCTTTTGTAGAGTTTATGAGAAAAATGTCTACCATTGACATTTTTAGGAAACTTATAATCCTCATACGGTCGTGCAAGAGGACCTTTTCCAACCAAAAAATCTGTCATCATTCGATCAATTTTTCCCCAATTTGCTGGATCCAAAGTATCGACACATGAATCATGCTCTTTGAAAGACACGCCATCTACATGATTACTAACATCCTCATCATCTTTCTCAACTCTTTTATCATTGGCTTCTTGCTCTTCGCTCTGGATTCTAACTCCATTAACTTCTCTTTTCTTAGAAGTCTCACAATGTTCATCATCTATTCTAACAACCTTATCAATTCCAATATCCTCATCTGTTATATGACTCTGAGATTTTGGTTTTTTCAAATACCTGAACATAGAATTGGCTAGAGATTTTGTCAATTCTTCTTCTCTTTTTTTCTTTCTTCGTTTTTTAGCTCCATCCTCATGTCTTGATTTCATCTCTCTGAAATTAAAAGATATAAAGACATAAATTAGGATAATTAGAATCTTATTTCATCTTTGTAACCAGTTTGTAACATAAAAACGTTGAAACTCCACGACCACAAAGAAACAAAAAGTGTTACAGAACATAACTGTAAATTTGTAACAAAGAAACAAAAAGTGTTACAGAACATAACTGTAAATTTGTAAAAACTCAAAAATCAAATAATTTTTTTTTTTTACCTTTGGTAGAAAGCCAAGATGATCGTTCCTTAATCTGACCAGGAATCTGACGATAACAGATGAATATGAAAATCTGAATTTGAAAATCAATTAATCAAGTATTCAAGTAACAGAAATCGATACAATTCACAAAGCTTCTTCTCTACTCTTTTTCTATCGTAAACCCTTATTAAAGCATTATAAAAAAAAAAAAAAAAAAATGGGCCTCCTATATTTTGAGGCCTCCTATATTTTGAGGCCACATACATATGTATCACAGAAATCTGTCACGGGCCGGGCCTGGTTAGGGCTAGTGATGTTATGGTTTATGCATGTGATGATCAATTAGACCAATCTGGAATTTAGTTGTGTTCTGGAGTGATCTCTGTTTTGATCTTGTTTAAGCTTCTTCATGTGATGAAAAATTGTGGTTGTTTTCATGGAATTTACAGGTCAGATTGTGTATAAGAAGCTGAAGGAGGGGTCAGACAAGTTTGTAGCAAAGGGTTTAGTTAGAACTGCTGAAGGAAAAGAGAAAATTGGTGGAGAAGCTGATGTTTTCATTGGGGATATAACAGATGCTGCTAGTATTAATCCTGCGTTTCAAGGAATCGATGCGCTTGTGATTCTCACTAGTGCTGTGCCTAAAATGAAACCTGGTTTTGATCCCACTAAAGGTGGAAGACCTGAGTTTATTTTTGAAGATGGACAATATCCTGAACAAGTAATTATTACCAAGAACATCTTAACCTTTTTCCTTCAAGTTTCAGCTTGAATTATTTGTTCATTGCAGCGTGAGTAAGACAAATTGATTTTGTGTAGGTTGATTGGATTGGCCAAAAGAATCAAATTGATGCAGGTAGGTGTACTTTTTATATCCATTTTGTTTTCCATGGTTTCTTGTTAAAGGTTAAAGTGTCTAATTCGGTGAGCTTCTATGTTCAGCCAAAGTGGCTGGTGTTAAGCATATTGTCGTGGTAGGGTCAATGGGTGGAACCAATCCGGATCATCCTTTGAACAAACTGGGAAATGGGAATATACTGGTTGGTGGAAATTTCTAATGTTTGTTCTTTTGATTTTGGTTTCTTGCACATGAACATTTGGCTTATGAGGCTCAAAATTTGGCTACCTAATGCGTGTTCAGGTTTGGAAGAGAAAGGCTGAACAGTACCTTGCTGATTCTGGAACTCCTTACACAATAATCAGGTTAAACAAATTCTTTAGAATGATGCTTCTATTTTAATTACAAGACCCTTTGTATATTACGACATCGAAATTCATCCCAAATTCTGTAGTTTCAAAGACTTCTAGTTACATTGTGTCCTGGTAACTGGTAAAGCTTTTTATCCTGTGGATCAAGGAGTGTTATTCTCTATCTTCTCGAGCATGTTCTTACTTGTTTATCGCTGTTCTTGTTTTTCCCAAACTTTGTTTGTTGATGAACTTAGAGCTGGAGGACTTCTAGATAAGGAAGGCGGTGTACGAGAGCTGATAGTTGGTAAAGACGATGAGCTACTTCAGACAGACACAAAAACCGTCCCCAGGGCTGATGTTGCGGAAGTCTGCATTCAGGTCTAGTCACCCGCTTTCATCTTTTTAATCAAATCTTCGCATCCTCTCCTTGGTTTATTTTCTGATCTGGATCTTTCTTCTTTACAAATACAGGCATTGCTGTTCGAGGAAGCCAAGAACAAAGCTTTCGATCTCGGCTCAAAGCCAGAGGGAACCAGTTCTCCGACTAAAGACTTCAAGGCTCTCTTCTCTCAAGTCACGTCTCGTTTCTAAATCCTTATCTTTGCTGCGAATAGAACATTTGGGATGTAATGTGTCAAACCTTCTAAAATAAAATCTCCGGGGTCAATTTGAAAGGAGCCCATAATAATAAGTACGTTTATTATCATTTCGAGAAAAATTGGTTGGGTTTGAATATTTTGAATTTAAAATATGGGGAAAATTTGGTGATTTATTAAAAATAAGGGGCAAAACTGACAATTTTCTCGTTTCTATCACCCGCTTCATTTGCCTTTTTATCGGCACAAAGAAAGAGTACGTAATATGTTAAACCAATCACCCCCTTTAAGTGTTTCATTAAGATCTTAAACCAGTAAAGATTTAAAAGTTGTACTAATATGTTAGGTTATTTGGCCAGATTTTGGAAAAAAAAACACAAATAAATTCGCTAAATTTAATAGTAAGTCGGGAGATCTAGACACAAATAAACACCCATTACCACTTTCACCGAAAAAAGTAAAAAAACAATCTGAAACAACTTTTGCAAATGTCAAAAAGAGGGTTTATAAATTTAGTGGCAATAAAGTTTGATATTTGAGTCAGCCCCTGCAGTGAATAGCCATGGTTGTCTCGGATGAAACTTGCAGTCCAAGACTCCTGCAATCAAAACCCATAATATCTATATTAATCTCCTGAAGAATCAAAATATATGACGATGACGCATAATAATGTGATCCTTGAGGAAAAACACAAAATGCCATATAAACTAACCTCCACCATTTGAAGAAGTAGAATGGCTTCTTAGAATCTCCAACGGTACAATCAGAGGATTCTCATTCAGATCATTATACACCTTTCCATGGAACACATAAGCTGTTGAGTCCTCTGAGGACGAAGCAAACAACGGATACGAACGGTGAAACTCCACATTAGTGATGTCCTTAGGATGATTCTTGAGAGTCTTGTACGGCTTCGAAGAAAGATCCATGTCAAACCAACACATCTTCCCTTCTTTACTTCCTACTATCAGATTATCACCACCAGGATGAATCGCTAGTGATGAGATTTCCCGCATTCCAGTCTCGAGCTTTTTGACGGGCTCATCTACCTTTAACAGATTGTAAACACGCACGTTCTTTCTTGTCGCGATGAACAAGTATGAACGGCTGGGATGAAAAACTGCAGTCACTGGAAGTCCACGGATCTTGAAGGGCTTTTGTGTAAGCTTTTTCGAGATTTGATGAATTACAACACCTCGCGTTTCGCCGGATGCCATGACTGTTGACAGATAGTCTCCCTTACGATGCCAGTCAATACTCGATACGTTCTGAAATATATAAACCAAAACAGTTATAAGGATTTTTTTTCCCCCCCTGTGATATAGCCGTTACAAAGGATATTTAGAAAAGTGTACCTTAAAATGTCTAATCATGATCCCTCCATATTTCTCATCTGGAAGCCATCTTGCAATTGCTGCAACTATATGGTGCAAAATATACAAAAGATTAAATCATTCGAATATCAATCTCAATCTCTGACAAACTATTGGTGGCTACTTACCGGATGCATTTGGTTCTATAACGTTTCCTAAGTGCAGCAGCTCTTTAATATATTCCTGTTCCTCATCAGTGTCAAGTTCAGTGTTTAGGATAACCAAATCTCGTCCCCTGCAAATGTGAGATGTGATGGTTTCAGAACAGAAAGTTATAATAAATCAAGAAAACAAACTCCCAAGATACACACTCACATGGCAACGGCTAAAATTGATAAGCCGGAAAGAGGATTCCAAGCCACACACTTAATAGCTTCATCAAATTGCCAGATTTTAAGACATCTACCAGTTTCCACTTCCCATATACGGACGGATCCATCAGTTGAACCTTTGAAGAGAGAAACAAGAATACAAAGGTTGGCATCTTGGAAAAAGAAGAGAGAGCTCAACAAAATTGAACAAAAACAATACCTGAGGCTATCCATTGGCCATAATAATCAGTGGATATGGTAGTAACTTTTCCTGTATGGCCTTTATATTCAAGATAACATGAGTCTGGATAAGGTCTAAGATCGTTCCTACTAGGTAGCTTAGGCTTCAAAGATTCAGGATCTATGTTTATCTGGAGAAAGGAAACACACTGAGATTAGATACAGAAAAAATGAGATAAACTAGAAAATGAGATGATCAAATTGGTCCTCACTCTCTTCTTTCGGACTCTCGGACATAGGTATAGATCCAAACAACGGTCAAAAGACTCTTTTAGTGCATTCACATATGCTGGAATGCTTCTCAGAGTTGTAAACCTACGCAAACATTAATTTACAATAAGGCTTAAGTTAACAAATCCCAAAGAAAACTACAAGAGAGTATATAAAGCACTACTTTTACATACCTTTGAGGAATGAGTTTTGGCTGATCTTCCTCAGGCATCAATTTATATGAGGCTTTCTCTTCCTCTGTTGGAATGAATTCCAAACAAGGATTGTATGATTCCTCGTGTCCTGGAAAGCCAAATTGCAAAAAAGATTTAAAAATACAATTCCCTGACAGATGGAAGCAGATAAACAATTGGTCAGCAAAAAAGAATTCACCTGGCAATTTTCGTTTTGGTGGAGGAATATAAGTTAATTGCTTGCTCTTTTGATCTGAAGTTGAATCACCAGCCCATAAGAGGTAAAGATTGAGCTCTTCTTCAGGCTTATCAAACTTGATCAGCCCCTTCCGGATTGCTCTAACGAGCTTAGCAACCATTTTAGCCTCCGATTTTGAAGGGAGGAACCTTCGCTTGGGTTCTGGTGCACTAGAGAGTGGATGTCTTGCATCATCACATATGAACCAATCAACATAAGGCTGGCACCAAGAGAATCAATCAATCAAAAGGTCACATTTGAAGTGAATATATCAGTAGAAAACAGCTACACATTACGTACCGCATGTGGATCAAAGTCAGCATGTGGCGCTTTCCCTTTGAGCATTCTATGAATGAACATTATCTCCTTTTTAGTCAGCTCCACTTTCTCGTCATTATATTCATCATAAATCTTGTAGCTAAAGCCCCACAGAATTGCATCACCATATATAATTAATCAGGGCTACTAATTAAATATATTTTTACAAATAAAGAGACAAGTCTTAAAAAAACTGACAGATTCTTGTAGTCATCAGAAGTAGCAAGAAAAGACTCAAGTTTGTCTGGCTTTTCTTTCTTGGTAATCATCTTCCCAGTGATGTCATAACCAATATGTTTCTCATCCTTATACCAGTCCAAGGGAATATCTCCAACTGTATTTCTTGGAGCAACCTACACATCAAAATATATATATATGTTGTAGTGGAGAAATATAGTTGCAAATCCTATAGACGTGAATAATAATAGATAAAGCATCAACCTCATCTTCTGAAGAATCGCTCTCTTCATCTTGCTGCTCAGAACCTTGGTCACTCCCATCTACTAGTTCACTTTCATCACCATCATCATTATCATCTGATCCCTCAAGACCTAATACATACATACATATAGATGCCGTCTCTCTATCTCTCTTACAAGTTCAAATAAAAGATGAGCTGAACCAAAGGCAAGTAATTACCATCGACTTCGTCCTCGGATGATTCTCTCTCTCCGTCTTCTGATGAACCGTCGTCCTCGGGATCAAAAATATCGGAATGCAAAGACCCGGACAAACTCTACACAAAAACGAGAAAGATGAACAAAAAAAAGCTCCAAGCAATGAAACAAAAGAGAAGGCGCAAGGAAAGGAGAATACATCTCCGTCGTAATCATTAGAATCTAGTAGCAGCAGGTCATCTTCTTCCTCTTTCAAGCTTCTCACAGGGACTCTCTTTCTCTTTGTTTGTATCATTTTATCCTCGTTAGCTGCTTTGCCCTTCTTCAGAGGCGAGAGGTTTCGACTCCTCGTTTGAAGAACAAAAATTCAGGGTTTTATGTTAAAGTCGCAATGCTCCTCCTTAACTCTTATGGGCTTGTGTATAATCTTAATGGGCCACAAGAGTTAAAAAGACTGCGATTTTTTTTTTCCCTTTCTAAATGATATAAATTCATTTTCTTTTATCGCTATGTTTTATTTTTCTATTGAAAATTACTGTATTATCCGTTTTTAATAATCATATTAAAACCATCTTTTTAATAACAATATATATCCGACATGTTTTTTTTCTTACACATGTTTGGATACAATGTGAAATTCATTTAATTAATTCAGTACAATATTACAATGCTCAAATACATATATCTGCGCAGTCACAAACTCACAATACAAAAGATTCATATATTATAAAGTACGTCCTTTACTTCTTTTCATGTTGAGGAATATTGGTTGGGTTTAATAATTCAAAATTTAAAATATGGGGAACATTTGGTGATTTATAAAACATACGGGGCAAAACTGAGAATTTCTCGTTTCTATCACCCGCTTCATTTGCCTTTCTATCGCCACAAGAACACACACAGAGCGATTTGCTCACTTCCGATATCGTTCGGATTTTGCTTCTTCATCGTTCGGTGGCTTCTTCATCTGAAGCTACGATGATTTCGGTTAGAGCAATCAATGGTTGCTCCATCATTCGCACCGCCACTTCCGGCGGCGGTCCTCCCGTCTCTCTATTTCGCCACCGTATTCAGCGCCTTAGAGCTTCTCATCTCCGTGAATTCTCGAAATTAGGTTTAAATTTTCCACTACTCCTGTCGAATAGGAGATTTCTCGGAAATAATGATGCTCCGAGCTGTTCGTCTTGCATTCATAGTCTGGTCGAAAGTGTTTCCGAAGAGCTCGAATCCATCAGCAGACGCAAGGGAAGCCGAATCAGAGTTCGTGCCAGTGTTAAGTACGTTTCAGTATCCTTCTCTTAAACAAAATATACTGATTATTAGCAAAACTGAAGTTGAAAGAGAATGATGATGATTCACCGAGTTTTTCTTGCTTTAGTGCTTTATTTGTTGGAGTGGGTACTTCATTGTGTAATTAGATGAATCTGTAGGGTGAAATTAACAAGCTACGGAGAGGTTCTGGAGGATAAGCTAGTAAACCAGGAGCTAGAGGCGGGTTTGCTTCTGGAGTTTAAGAAGGATGCAGACAAAGTATTGTTGGCAGTTGTTCATAGACGTGATGGCAAGAAGAACTGGATGGTCTTTGATCAGGTTTCCATCGAAACTTAGTACTCATTTACTTGCTCTAGCGTCAGTGCAGTGCTTGCAGATTTGTTAGACTTATAAAAACTTTAATGGTGCAGAATGGTGTTAGTTGTTCTATCAAACCACAGCAAATTACATACATCGTCCCAGGTGTTTATAATTTTGATCATACAGGACTTACTGATTTTCTCCAGAGGGCACAGGATAACTTGGTACGTAATGACATCTTAGTCTAAGATGAGGTTGTCATGTTGTTAACCGTGAATGAGCTTCTCGTTATTTTTTGATGCAGGATCCCCAACTGCTTGAGTTTGCTTGGATCGAGTTACTTGAGAAGAACAAACCTGTGACGCCAGAAGAGTTAGCAGAGGTACTATATATTTGAGTTAATGTAGCGGGTGAACCCGTGGTTTGATAATGCTTTTAAATTTGCAGATGATATATGGTCGCGCAGATCCTCTTGAAAGCTATTGTGCTCATTTTTTGCTATCACAAGACGAGATATACTTTTCTGTTTTGGAGTCAAAAGGTTCTCGATCAATATACAGCCCTCGGTCTACTGAACAGGTATTTCTTGTGCATTTTTTCCTGAGTTATCTTTTAGATTATGTCATATTTGTCACTAGAAGGGTGTTCTCTGTAGCTTTTTTTCTTGGTAGTGTAAATCCTATGATATTAGGATTTCATCCATCTATCTAGTAATGCTGCGCTGCATTTGCTCCATAAATTTGTGAAATCAAGAAAGAATTCTATGTTGATGAAATTTGTAATCATACTTGCTTCGATGTAACTTGGCTTGTTGGGTGATGATATGTGATTAATGCCAAGAGATCTAGATTATGAAAGTTGGGATTCTTCTATTGCTTGACATGATTTTCCTGAAGACCTTCTTTCTCTTATGATCTCACGTCGATTCTTTTTTTGTAGGTGGAAGAGCTTTTACGAAGGCAACGCGTGAAGGAGGCAGAAGAGAAAGAGTTTCAGGAGTTTATTCAATTGCTGAAGTCTGCCAAGAAGGCGCCTAGTCACGCCAAACCCCCCAAATCTTCATGGCTAGCTGATGATAAAGTCCAAGATAGAATTGGCTCACTTGAAGCTTATGCCATTGATGCATGGGCAAGCACTGACCAGCAGAAATTGGCTGGAACGGTGAGTAAGCCATATATTTCTTTTGTGGTAATAGTAATATCTCTTCAGCTGTTTCTATGTGGATGCGAAGCGATATCTCTGAAAGAATATTCTCTTCGAATTGTCTTGTGGTCGTATTTTAACTGTTTGGTTGTTGAACTGTCAACTGTAATCATATGTATTTTTTGGTTGCTTCATGACAGATCTTAAAATCCATGGGGTTACAGAAAACGTCTGTATCAGCACTAAACCTTCTCATAGATATTGGATATTTTCCTGTACATGTCAATCTTGAACTGCTTAAGCTGAATCTTCCAACCCACCACTCAGAAGCTATCACTGAAGCTGCTGAAGTTCTTCTTTCAGAATCATCTGATATTGATGCGGTGAGCACTTTGCCCTGCCTTTGGAGATTTGTGTTATATGAAAATAGTGATTCTCGTGTTTGTGACGCTTTAGGAAAGTCTTGCCACAATCTTTACCTGAGGTTCAAAATTCTTACTTTCTCAGACTTTGTTTAGGTTAGGAGGATTGATCTCACACACTTGAAGGTTTATGCAATTGATGTTGATGAGGCTGATGAGGTAAATTCGTTCAAGTCTCCTATATTTTTTCTGCAAGGTCTAGGTTCGAAAATCAAGTCTTCTTGCTATCTCATTTAACTGTCAGCATTCTTTTCGGTTTTATGGAATTTCTGCAGCTTGATGATGCCCTCAGTGCAACGAGATTGCAGGATGGACGGATAAAGATCTGGATACATGTTGCTGATCCTGCTAGATATGTTACACCTGGGAGTAAAGTGGACAGGTAAGTTTGATGCATGTCTCTGATCACTATAGGGGCTAACTTTTTGGAGACTCTGATTCATGAATATGTGCTTCAGAGAGGCAAGGAGAAGGGGAACTTCTGTCTTTCTGCCTACGGCTACTTATCCAATGTTTCCAGAAAAACTTGCCATGGAAGGAATGAGTTTAAGACAAGGAGAAAACTGCAATGCTGTCTCTGTGTCTGTTGTCCTGCGTTCTGATGGCTGGTAACTCAATAATCATAGCTCTTCTTTCGAGTTCTAATCTACCAAATGCTGAGAACTAAAAAAGTACCTTACGACCCCTTCTAACAGTATTGCAGACTATTCAGTAGAGAATTCAATCATCAGACCAACCTATATGTTGACATATGAAAGTGCTTCTGAGCTGCTTCACTTGAACCTAGAAGAAGAAGCTGAACTGAAATTGCTATCTGAGGCAGCTTTCATTCGCTCTCAATGGCGCCGTGAACAGGTTGGCTTGAGTGTTATCAAAATCTTATCATAGAAACATAGTTTTGCTAGAGGTTTTGTCTTGTCTAAAATTTTCAACGTGAAAGGTTCATTAGAGCCTTCTTTGGGCATTAAGGTTCTTGCTGGATGCATTTTTCATTTGTTTTTTATTTGAAACACCTGCTTTTTCCTGGGCTTACACAGGGTGCAGTGGACACAACTACGCTAGAAACTCGTATCAAAGTGGTGAATCCTGAGGATCCAGAACCTTTGATAAATCTCTATGTAGAAAATCAGGCAGATCTAGCGATGAGACTTGTCTTTGAAATGATGATTCTTTGTGGGGAGGTTGTAGCAACGTTTGGGTCTCAGCATAATATTCCATTGCCATATAGAGGACAGCCACAGTCAAATATCGATGTATCTGCATTTGCTCATCTTCCGGAAGGACCCGTACGTTCGTCATCCATTGTCAAAGTAATGCGTGCTGCAGAAATGAATTTCAGATGTCCTGTTCGACATGGAGTGCTTGGAATTCCTGGTTACGTTCAGTTCACATCTCCCATTCGTCGTTACATGGATCTTACTGCACACTATCAGGTAAACCTTTTTCGCCATCATGTGATTTAGATTTGATTCTTCTTGACAATGTCTTAATTGATTAATCTGTTTGGATATCAATAGGGTGAATCCAGTACACGTACTTGTGATTGTGCCTTATCCTTCACTTGAACATTAATCACTTTAATAATTTGGCAAAGCGTGTTGTTTGAATTACAGATTAAGGCTTTTCTTCGAGGAGGCGACAATTTTCCATTTTCGGCTGGTGAATTAGAAGGTATAGCAGCATCCGTAAACATGCAGAGCAAAGTGGTGAGAAAACTCTCAAACAGCGGTCTCCGCTATTGGGTAATTGAGTTTCTCAGAAGACAAGAAAAGGGTAAAAAATACACCGCATTGATCTTGAGATTTGTCAAAGACCGGATCGCATCCCTTTTGTTGGTTGAGGTAATTGTTTAATACCACCGGAATTTTTTCTCATAATAAGCGGTTTAGATTAAGTTAAATCACTTGTAAATATGTTTCCAGGTGGGTTTTCAAGCAACGGCGTGGGTGTCAGAAGGAAAACAAGTGGGAGATGAAATCGAAGTTCGAGTAGAAGAAGCTCATCCCCGCGACGATCTTATTCTCTTCAAAGAGGTTATATAGAGAATTAAAAACACAGTTCAGGAAATATCATCAAACCCGGTTTCTCTAAACATGGAGATGCCTGAAACTGATAGAAAGCTTGTGTTTACAAAAGAGGTAACTAATTTCCACTAATGTTTTAACTAACCCTGGTATATATCGATGAACTGAATACAATATTTTTTGCTCTTTTGGTGTTAAAGAAACTTGCTGATGGACGCAGCCATTTGTGGGTTGAGCTATGACCTGCTTTAAGAGTTGAGCACATGCATGGTAATATGGTACGCACTTATAGGGTTCATACAATTTTACATCATGTTGTTATTGTAAGTTAGTATAGGAAACTTGCTTTTGTTCTCTAGAGCAAAGGAAGAAAAAAGGAATGTGAATATACTATTTCAATGTTGAATTTGATCGATCTAAAGTCTTAAACAGAGCTCCAAGGCCTTAGAAAAGTATCAACTTGATATAATTAAGATCGTAAGATTGTTTGTTTCTTCCAATTGTGTGGCTTGGAATTTAAGTTAGGTCAGATATGAATCATATGGACTTCCCATTATTGAGCCCTTAACTCTAGGCTTAAGGTATCTATGGATTGTCTTATATAACCTCCTGAAATATAATCCTTAATTAGAGGTTAAGCTTGTTGTCAATTAGTTTTTTGTTTCGATTTTTGTTTTTACAAATAAGATCGATCGTCGATTTTTTTTTTTTAATTTAGTGCCCATAAAACCCATAACTAGATGTGGAAAATACGACTCCAAACACCACATGGCTGTCCAAACCTAAAATCACTTGACCAATTACAAATTGCGTTTATACTATAATGCTAATGATTGAAATTGAACCAACTGAAATGGTAGCTTCTCTTTCTCCACGTCTAATGTATCTAATTCAATTTCCAACACAAGAAATATTTACTTGTGTGCTAATTGATAAGTTGGGTGGGATATAATATAAGTAATATTTTTGGTGATAATAACAAAGAAAAGTCAAAATCGTACCGAGAGTTTAGTTGTGGTGGGAAGAAAGAAAAAGTCAAATGCTGAAAGTGTACGTCGTAGCAGATAAGCGTATCAATTAAAAATTAAATGTAGAAGCAACAAACAATTAAAAGAATATTTTCATGTTACTATGTTTTCTAACCATTTATACCACCAGTCACCGACTAGTTGATAATTTGATATTTACGAAAGAATGCATGCATGTATTTTCATTGCATTTCCAAGGACGGCTAAGCTAATTTGTCAGATCAATGACACTAATCAAACTGTATAAAAGACATATTTTTTTTTAATTCTTTTGACTTCTTATAAGGTAGAAGTTAAGCACAAAATAGCATCTTTAAAATTAACTAACTAGGAAATTATGAAATTGGAAAATTAACTGATTAGTTGGTCACTCTCTGAAGTGGCCACTAATCTATGATCAATCGTTAATTTTGTAAAGTGACTATGATTAATGAAATCGTTAATTTTGCAAATTGACTATATATGGTTAAAAAAAAAAACTAGGAGGAGTAAAACAAGAAAAGGTAATTTGCGGTTTCGATTATACATTGGGAAACACAACATTAGTGCTTCGATGTCAAGTGGTACGGACGAAGTAAGATCTAAGGATTTGTTTGCTTCTAAAACTACCCTAACAAATACAGTATTGATTGCACATGCGTTTATCTTTGCTAATTTATCAGAAATATTGGTAATTAGTCAATAACATCGATTTTTATTTTTTTATTTACATGTAGTAAAAAATTGTAAATTGTCGTCTAATGCCATAAATGATTAGTTCTAGGTGAACATTCTTGGAAACAATCACATGTACGTGCTTCTTGGAATTTTACTTGAAATAAATCTCTGACTTTTGTTGACTTCTTGTTTAATTACATTCGATCTATGTGTAAACAATGTGATTAGAATACAATTTGTAAAATCGACAAAAAACCCAAAAAAAAAGTGTGGAAACATTAATGGTGTACGTAACGTGGTAATATAAATGTGGAAGCCCTAATAAGAGCTAGTAATGGCTTACGTACCTTGAGACCAATTATTTATAGAATTAAAATAATTGTAAAATAGTGGCAATAAATGAAGCCACATGGATATAGTGGTCGAATATTTCTATGAACAAATATCATCCCTAGTATTATTATATATGACCTTTTATGAAATATATATACATTTATAAATGTAAATGTAAATTTTAGAATTCGAGTTTTTGGTTAGTTGTTTATTGTGAATTTAGTATATTTTACATAATGTGATATTTTTTTTTAATACATTATACATAACATTTATTCATGTGGTCTTTAACCCTCTTAAATATATCGAATATCTTACAAAGATCGCGTAATTAAATATGAGTTATCTAATTATATAGAGCCTAGGTATGTATGTGGCAAAACGTGAAGATGGCCCCGGCCGCAATCAGTTGAGGCCCAACGGCATTTAAATGTGATGCCGTATTTTCCGTGTTCTTATACGGACGGACACTCTCATACACTTCACAAATAAAAAGATTTTCGTATAATACTTTATTAGCAATTAGTTATATAATTTTTTAAAATAAGAATTAGTGTGTTATCACTAATAGATGGAACATAGAAGAAAGGGAATGAGATTGCCGTTATCAAATATTTGTAACCATTTATCTTTGTTTTATATAAACTCAATAATTTCAAACTTATGTGGAAATATAATAAAAATGAATCGGATCGGATCGGATCGGATCGGAGGGTTTTGATGGTTCATGTGGGATTTCTTACTGGTGACACAACACACAACTCGCAAATTGACCAAAGAAGAATGCATGAGGTGCCCATGTGCGGTCCACGTGCATTTGCCATCTCTTTGGCTTATATACAAAATTTAATTATTAACTGTGAATAAACAATGCTTCATTTTTTCTGTTTAACTAATTAAAAAATAGCATTTTTGAGCTTTTGTATTTTAATTGTACTCTTGTAGTTTTGATTTGAAAAAGATGAGCAAATATCAAAACTGCTTGAAATTTTAATCATACCGTTGAGCTATTATCATGATTCAAATAAATGTCTAATAAATGACATTTCTATAATTTCTAACAGATTTTATAATAGTGAATTCGTCGTCATAGAATCACTTTAAGTTAATTAGTTATCAGTTAAGGTCAGTGTGACGCAGATCGCAGACCTATCCCTACGCTACGCGCTACAACCCTCGAAAACTACAATTTCGCCGCGAATTAGGAGCGCGTGAAAGTAACTCGCATGACGTACGCGTGGTTGAGAAGACAGACTTTAATCACCAAAGCCACGTAAGCCGCCGGAATTATTTGTTACTGGGCCAAAACGTATTTTCTTTTGGGCCGATTAATTAAATTCGATACCTAATATCGGCCTTAGTTTGTTTACGTTTAGTAAGAGAGCCGACTTTTACATGTAAGTAAAATTTTAATATATTCTTTGTTCTTTTTAGTTGTTGATATACTTTTTTTTTTTTTGATAAAAGGCTTTCTATTTAAATGCAGAAAAATGAAAAAGATTACAAAAGCCCAGCCCAGCTTTAGTGTTTGTAGTGGCCGAAGCCCAAATAAAAGAGAACACAGCCCAGTAAACAATTAGAACACACACATAGGAAAGATCTTAGGGTTGAACCTAGACAGTAGGCAATGGAATAGTGAAATCGTCGCTTTGCCAGAGTTATGAAGTAGAGAACCAAAGCTGCATCATTGAAGAAGACAATCGGGGATTGTGATCCCTGTATGTGGAGATTTTGTTTCGGATGACAGAATCAATAAGACGGAGCAGGGAATCTGCAGATCTGAAAGAGTTGCGGTGAAGGCGGTTGTTTCGTTCTCCCCAGAGCACGTAGATGCAGCACTGCCATGCCAAAAGACACAGTCTTCTCCTGTCTTTAGGACCAAGTAGATCTTGAAGCTGAGAAACAGATGCGTCCCAAGAACGAAGAGGCTGTAATTGGAACCTCATCGCGATTGAAGACCAAACAGTCCAAGAAAGATTGCAGTTGAAAAACAGATGATCACGACTTTCAGGGAAGCTGTTGCAAAGCAGACAAACCGGATCTGTTTGAAGACCCCAGCTTAGTATACGGTCTCGTGTAGGGCATCGGTTTAGGACGAGAAGCCAAGCGAGGAAGCTATGTTTCGGAATTCCACCAGAGATCCACACTGCTTTTCGCCAAGGAACAATGGGAGACTGCTCACGGAGGAGGTGATAGATAAGACCAGTAGAGTATCGAAGATGGATTTTGCCATTTACTTCCCATTCATAGTGGTCTTCATCATCTGTGAGAGTCAAGGTAGTTAGATAAATATGGAGAGAGACCTGTTGATCAGTTCTGGGATGAGGCAGCAGCCATCGTCCTTGATTGTGCAGTTGATGTAGAGTAGCGTCTGGAGGTATCCCCAGCCTTGTTTCCCTAGTAGTCCGTAAGAAATCCACGACCTTGCCATATGGAGACCAATTATCCGACCAGAACCTGCAGGTTAGTCCATTACCAACCCTTAATTTTATCCAATTGAAGACTCCCTCTCTTAATTTCAGAAGTTTGTTTGCCATCCAAGAGTAATTTGGTCTCTGTTTCATTGTCCAGTAGTTATTCAAAGACCCTCGCAGGAAATGAAGTTTAAACCAGGCAACCCACACCGAACCAGATTGAAAAAACAGAAGCCATATAAGCTTGATGGTACACGCTTTATTCCAATAAGTGAGATCTCTTATTCCCAGCCCTCCTTGATCCTTTGGTTTTGTAACAGTTTCCCAGGAGACTCTAGCACTGTGATGACCTTCCAGACTCCCTTTCCACAAGAAAGCACTACAGATTGAGTGAATTTTTTTGATGCACAACTTTGGGAGGATAAAGGTGGAGCACCAGAAATTTGAAATCCCAGCAATGACAGTATTAATGAGCAGAAGCCTGCCCGCAAAAGATAAGGATTTTGCACACCAGTTGTTGATTTTTCCTTTTACCTGTTGGAGGAATGGTTCACAGTCATGAAATGAAAGCTTTTTTGTACACAGGGGAACACCAAGATACCGTACAGGGAGGCAACCATGTGTAAGGCCAGTTGAGGATTTGATTTGGGAGATCTCTGCCTCAGTTAGTCCTCCCGCATAGAACGAAGACTTTTGTAGACTAATAGCAAGACCAGAACGTTGCTCAAAATCACTGAGAATTTGGAGAATATTTTGGACAGAGGAGAGAGAGCCATCTGTGAAGATAAGAAGGTCATCAGCAAAGCACAAGTGGGTGAGTTTGGCTTTGTCGCAGTTGTGATGGTAGTGGAACTTCCCTTCTTCAGCTGCTCTATTCAACAAAAGTGAAAGATTGTTCATGGCTATTACAAAAAGGTAAGGCGAAAGAGGGTCTCCCTGCCTGAGTCCTCTTTTTCCTTTGAAATACCCATGTACCATGCCATTATACCCAATTGTGAAGTTTGTAGTGCAGATGCAAGCCTGGAGCCATCTCAAGTATTGATCAGGGATGTCTATTCCCCTTAAGCATTTGAACAAGAAATCCCAGGAAAGAGTGTCAAAAGCCTTCGCAATGTCCACCTTGATGACAACTCTTTTTGGTCCCTGAGCCTTATGGTAGCCATTGACAATTTCTCCAGCAAGAATGGTGTTTTCCAGTAGTAACCTGTCCTTTACAAAGGCAGTTTGGTTCGGGAGAATAAGAGTGGGCAGTAAAGGTTTGAGCTTTGAGACTAGCAGCTTTGAGACAACTTTGTAGAGGGTATTTAGACAAGAAATTGGTCTGTAGTCAACAATTTGGGAAGCTCCAGGTCTCTTTGGCACAAGAGTGAGAATGGTAGCGTTTGCAGACGCAGGCAGAAATGATGACTGGAAAAAATGGCTTATGGAGGCAGTGACTTCAGGTCCTAGGGAGCTCCAAGCTGCTTTGTAGAAACCTGCAGTTAGCCCATCAGGCCCAGGCGCTTTGTTTACGTTGAGCTTGAACATGACCTTAGTAATCTCCGCAGAGGTTGGAAGAGCAAGCATAGCTTGAGATTGCACGTGAGAGCATCGAAAAGGATTCAAGGACTGGAACCAATCAAGAGAGGACCCAATAGACGGCAGAGGCATGTGATCCGGGGCTAATATGGATTTAAAGTGAGAGATTGCATGAAGACTCATGGCACTCGGATCATCAATTAGGTCACCAGAATTGAGTAGAAAAGACCGGATCGTATTGAAGTTTGCTCTATACTGGCAGATTTTATGGAAGTAAGAGGTATTTAGATCACCTTCCTTTAACCAATTAATCCTTGATTTCTGTTTGAAATAACTTTCTTCAATCTCTCTCAAAAAATCCCATTTGGCATGTAGATCTCTCTCTAGCTGGAAAGTAATTGATGAAGGGCTCTGTAAGGCTTGGACCTGCACATTCATAAGCAAACTGTTAGTCTCTCTCACTCTCTCTTGAATTTTTGAAAAATTCTCTCTGTTTAAACTTTTTAGGTCTCTTTTGATGGTCTTTTGCTTCCAACAGAGATCAGTGAGGTTGAAAGCAAAGCTTCCGGCCTGAATCCAAACTTCAGTCACCAACTGGAGGAAGTTAGGGTGTTTGGTGAGGTAGTTGAAAAACTTAAAAGGTCTAGTTCCGGCTCTTGGGATTTGGTAGGCTAGGTTTACCAAGCTTGGCGAATGGTCTGAGGGAAGAGGAGGAAGGAAAGTGGTAATGCTGTTCGGGAAAAGAGTTAACCAATGGCTATTGACAAGAACACGGTCTAGTTTCTTTGCAACTGGGGCAGTAGGTTGATTGTTACTCCAAGTGTACAGCGGGCCCTGAAACCTCAAGTCAAAGAGTTCCATTTGAGCAAGACTGTCTTTAAACTCTGTCATTGGTGGAGAGAGGGAATTCACAGTAGGTGAAGAGTGCTCCTCATAGTGAATAATCTGATTGAAATCCCCTCCAACAAGCCACGGAGAAGTATCCAGAGATAGAGATTGTTGCAATTGCAGAAGCTCAATCCAGAGGTCTGTTCTTTCATCTCTTAAATTAGAGGCATAAACTGCAGTGAAGATAAACCTAACCTTGTTTGCAATGATGACCTCACATGTAACAGATTGCCTGGATTGGTGCAATACCCTTACAGAAGCTGGGTCCTTCCAGATAATAACAATGCGACCATCCTCATCAGACAAGTGATTTGAGGTAAAATTCCATCCCGGACATACTTTAGCCATAATCTGGTTCAAGCTAAGTTCTTTTATGTGTGTTTCCAAAAGAGCTCCAAAAAGAGGCTGGTGGCTTCTAAGCCAATTACAAAAGGGCTGATGCTTATCCGGATCATTTAGACCGCGGATATTCCAAAAAAAGTGGCTTGTATACATTAATGATGAGCAGGGGGTTCTCCCTTGGCTGGGAGAGGACCATCCAAAAGAAGCTCATTATCAGTTTCAGGTGAAGACAAAACATTTTTGGGTTGAGTATGAACTGGTGGAACAGGTAGAGAAAGAGGGTTTGGGACAAAAGAGTTTGGTAAATAGGTTGAGTCTGAGAGGGTAGGATGGGAGCGAGAGCGCTTTAGTGATTTAGGAGGAGTGTAAGGATAGGGCAGACCAGAAGGGGTAATGGCTGCAGGAAGCCCAATGATCATGGGCAAATCAGGTTTGCTTTTTGGAAGAGGGTTAGATGGTGTAGTTTGTGGTTTAGGTAGTTGGTCAATTAAGGGGGAAGCAGCAGGGAGGGTTAAATTTGTGGAGGAGAGGGTTGCTGTTTCAGAGAGAGGTGTTGGGTCTGAAGGGGTCAAGCAAGAGAATTGGTTGGTACAAGTAAAGGGTTTTGGGACTGGATTGGCCCCCGGTAGATTAGAGTCTTTTGAGCCAGAAGTAACCTGGACCATCTTTTCTTTAGCAGGAACAATAGTAGTAGGAGCAACAGATTTTTCTTTTCCTTTGTTTACTCTAGCGCCTGAGACCTTTTTTACTTTGCTTGTAGGGACCGAAACTTTTTGAGAAGATTCATGGTCTGGAGGTAGTTGCAAGCAGTTTCTAACAATGTGGCCAAGCTCTTTACAGTGAGAACAAGTTGGGGGAAGCCAAGGATATTTAACCTCCACTTCAACAATTTGTCCATTGTCTCTAGTAAACTCCACCACATCCGGCAGTGGTTTGGTAAGATCCACCAAGACTTTGGCATGTGAAACCTTTAGACTCACAAGGTTTAAAGTGAAATCATCTGTTTCCTTTGGCTCACCAACAAGCCCTGACACTAAACTTATACCTTCTTTTGTTCTTAGGTCCAAAGGGATATCAAACATGTGAATCCAAATGGGGATGGAGTCAAGAGCAGGTGACGCAGAGGAGTAATGTGACGCCCAAGGAGTAGTATGGAACATAGAATCCCCAATATACCAAATACATTTTTCAAGGACCTTCTGCCGAATGAAATCATTTGGTATACGGACAAGCATTGATCTAGATAGGTGGTTTACATGAATCTCAAGACGGCGGCCCTTTCCCCACATATGATTGAGAACGCTTTGAATTTGGTGGAAAAGGGGAAGCCTACCATTGAAGAAACAGATGATGAAGTCTTTGTGGGACTCAGCCCCTCTTTGGAATACCGTGTCAGGAATATGAATTGTAGGTCTTCCATCTTTAGTAAAAGAGACTGGAGCAAGCCGCTTTAAGCTGCGGTCTACCGACTTTCTAAGTTTGTCAGCCAGAGTCCTTGGATTAGAGGCAGGAGCAGTACAGCCCTCAGTAGCATCTTTTTGAGGGAGAGGAGAACTTTCAGTAGGGCCTTCAGTGACAGTAGTGGCTGGCAGAGCAGCTGGATTGACAGGAGACACAAAGGATGATTTGGGAAGGATTGGGGCAGGGGTTTTGATGGGAGATAGGATTTTGTTTGGAGAATGAGAGGTTGAGGCCTTATTGGTGATTAAGGGAGAGGTAGATTTTGGGGTTAGCACAGTAAATTTTTCAGCTACAGGAAGATGTTCTGTAGCAGTTATCACAGATCCAGGATTTTGAACACAGGGATCTGCAGAAACTGGAGTAGTATTCTCGACCTGATGCATCACAACATCAGTAGTAGTTGGGACAGAATCAACAACCAAACTAGAACAGACCACAACAGGCTCTTGGGTACGAGCAGTTTGAAGTGGACTCTTTAGGAGCTTGGAGGAGGTAGAGGACAAGGTGGGGAAATTGGAAAGGGAGATAGCATCGGAAGGGTCAGGCGGGTCAGGAGGGATGGGCGGAGGGGGGAGCTGGTTACCACCAGCGGTGGGAAGCCTTGGATTCAGGGCGGAAGCACGAGCATTTGAGAACCAGTGGTTCTGCATTGGGAACCGTGTCAGAGAGAGAACCTTATCTTCAATCGTTTTTTGTTTTTTTTTTAGTTGTTGATATACTTGAAGAAACCAAAACTTTTTATTTAACCTAAACATGAATAAATATATAATATTAAAACTTTTGAGGCAGAAAAAGCTTAGAAGATTTTTTATTGCTTTACAAAAAGTGAGAAACAAGTGTTCAGTTGTTCTTTTGCATATTTTTTTGGAGAATAAGAACCAAAAAGATTGGATATTTATCATTTCATAATCATAAAACATAATTTACGTATTTTTTGGGTTCAAATTTAATATCAGAAAAACAAACTAAATAGTGATAGAATACTTAGATATGCATTCTCATGATTTCGGTGGAATATATAAATATTAGATCCAAGAGTTAAAAAAATGCGAATTACATTTTTAATTTCAATAAATTTCATTAAATATTTTATTAAAAAAATACTTCAATTCGAAAAATGAATAAAATAAAGCCGTAAAGTCACTTGAAGCCTCCTCCTCTAGTCCTCTCCCTCCATAAGTAGCCTTCCTACCTTCCCTCTCCCTCTCACAATCCTCTCTTCTCTCTCTCTTCTAAAAACCAAACCTTTTTCCGTACTCAAGTAAAAAAAATGACGGCGAAAGTAATAACATTAATGGCGGTTATGGTGGTTACTGCCTTGACGGTGAACGCCAAAATCCCCGGAGTTTACACCGATGGTCCCTGGATCAATGCTCACGCCACCTTCTACGGCGAAGCTGACGCTTCCGGCACTATGGGTACACACACATACTCTCTCTCACCTCCTCTGTTTTTTTTTTTCCATTTCAGACACAAAGTTTTCAACTTCTGTAAGAATTTCTTCAAGTTTAACTATTTTGAACCCATACATGTTTCAACTATTCACTGAATATACGATTTTTGTAGGTGGTGCGTGTGGGTACGGGAATTTGTATAGCCAAGGTTACGGTGTGAACACGGCGGCTTTAAGCACTGCCTTATTCAACAATGGTTTAAGCTGTGGCTCTTGCTATGAGCTCAAGTGTGTCAATGATCCAGGATGGTGCCTTCCCGGAAACCCATCAATCCTTATCACCGCCACTAATTTCTGCCCTCCCAACTTTAATCAAGCTAGCGATGATGGTGGTTGGTGTAACCCTCCTCGTGAGCACTTTGATCTCGCCATGCCTATGTTTCTGTCCATCGCTAAATATAAGGCTGGTATCGTTCCCGTCTCTTACCGCAGGTAAATTCATTTCTCTCTTAGTCTATTCTCTGTTTTCGCTAAAGTTACTCACTATACTCTGCTTATGTCTCTTCTCTGTTTTTTTTATTATCTATACTCTGTTTTGCCTACCTTGCAACCTCTGAAGAATTGATTTTATCGAGTCTTGATAGTTAAAAACTTCCAACTTAAAATAAATATTCGTATTTTTATAGAGAAAATCCCGTATTTTTTGGTTAGCTTATTTTCGAGACCGATCCTATTAAATTGCCTAATGTTGCTCAGTCAAATATGTTAAAGATACTTATTTCTTTTGCTTCAGAAGTAACTTTTTATCTAAAGTAATTAAGAATCTGTGAGTCTGACGATTCTCAGAGCCTTCGCATGTTCACTCTATTCTTTATTCCATTTTATCTTAATTTCCCGAGAAAGTTGCTTCCTTTTCTTTTATTTTTCTCGGGAACCAAACATGAAAAGGGTTTCTCAAAATAAATAAATAAACGAAACATGAAAAAGTTTATTAACGCACTGTTTTAGACTTTAGTTGAGCCTATGCAATCACCTTTTCTGTCTTTTAGTCCCTTTAAAGCCATAACCTTTAATCAACGAACCGAACCTTTTAAACCCGGGTCGGTTATTTTCGCAACTTTTTTATATCAATGTTTTTTTGGTACTGAATACATTATACATAACTAACAATATATTATTTATTTGGGTGTTGTAGGATCCCATGTAGGAAGAAGGGAGGTATAAGATTCACAATCAATGGATTCAAGTACTTCAACTTGGTGCTGGTCACTAACGTAGCCGGAGCTGGCGACGTCATTAAGGTGAGTGTGAAAGGAACCAACACACAATGGTTAGATCTGAGCCGGAATTGGGGACAAAACTGGCAATCCAACGCAGTTCTTGTCGGCCAATCTCTTTCTTTCCGAGTCAAAACCTCCGATGGCCGAAGCTCCACCTCCAACAACATTGCTCCCAGTAACTGGCAATTTGGTCAGACTTACTCCGGCAAGAATTTCCGCGTTTGATTTCTCGAAAATAAAAAAAAATCGAGCAGCGGAATATATTGAAGCTTTTTTAATCAAATATATATATTTACGTGTCTTTGATTTAGTTTACTATTTGGAATTGGGGTTTTACGTACCATTTTTCCCTTATTTTCTCAGGGAAAGTATTGGGATTGCTTGGTTTGGAAGTTAGGGTTTTACTTTAAAGATTAGGGTTATATTGTTGTTTTTGTTTTTGGTGTGTTGTGTCTTGTTTGGTATGTAGAGAGGCTGAAGCGGCTGCAGAAAGAAAGGTTTGGGATAAAGATAAATGTAGCCCGCAGCTCTCTTTTACGTTATGATTGTATTAAGTATATATATTATGAAGAAGTTAAACATGGATCTTCGATTTATATAAATAAATAATTGGCTATTTATTTATTTAGTAACTAAGATTTTAATATATTTATGTTATGTCTGCTTGTCCTGATTAACTTTTGGTATCAAATTATTTGTCAATTCAGATGAATAATTAAATTTATTTATATCTAATAGTACGAGTATATATATAAACAAATGAGTGGTAGTTGACAAAACAAAAAACATAAGAGAGGTGATTGCAAAACGTTAATGCAAGACAAATAACTCGTTCGTACTACGTTTGTATTAAAGCTTTTCAAAAGGCATTAGAAAATAATCTAAAGATTTATACGGTCTAGAATTCCGGGATATATGGTGTACGATATACGTATTTTAGTATGTACTTATGTGAGAGGTGATGTATCAAGGAGAATAGAATTCATGTGATGTGATGTAAATGCATTACACCATCATCATGTGCAAACCTGCGATCACAAATTTATTAGAGAAAAATAACAAAAACTAATATAAGATATTGAATAAGATTTTACAGAATCTTATCTTATATTCTGATAATTTTGGTAGATGGACCAACCAATGTATATTAATGCTTTTTATTTTATTTTATTTAATAGAATATTATTGTTTTTTTTTATCCCATGACAATGTGTCATATGCTAACATCTAGATGCAACCTGTTTAGATAGCATCAGTCCATGATTACCTTGCATAAATTTATAGTATACATGCATGCATGCAAATAATTGTTTTTAGTATATATATCTCATGAATGAATGTTATAAAGTTTTGCCCAATATATCCACTTCTTACTTTTTATCTTTAAATCACCTTTTGTTAGTCTAAATACATCAGTTAGATCTGATGAATCATAAACACAACAATATAAGTACCATGCATGATCTAGCTACCAATTAAGAAAATAGACACGCAAATCATCGACATCTGTCATCTGGTTCAAATGAAAATATATATAATTGCGTCGTCTCATGCAATGTTTCTTACGAATCGCAAAATTACGATCGACCTATTAGCGTCATTGTCTACTGCGAATAACAAAACCGAAAACTGAGCGTGTGTGGGTGTATGTGGCTGGTCGAGATTGATAATTTTCATCTCAATTGTTTTGTGGCCAACAATATGAATCGGAATAATATTTCAAATGTTTTTCTGTTTAGTTTTAATATATTTCAATTTCCTTTAAGCAGCAATACACAAACCTGCCAAAGGTTTTTGATATAAAGATGCAATTTTTTTAATAAAAAAACAAGATTGAAAATGTCCTAAATGAATGTAAAAAACGAAATAAAAGGAAAGTGTGAATAATAGAAAATATGTATATATGGTGGGCTATCTATTTGGTCGGTGTAACTAAATGAATGTTATTAGAAAAAGAAGACGAAATCAAAGGATACTTTTTGCAAAAAGAAAAAAAAAAGATAGAAAGATTATAGATGGTGGAGAGCATAAATCCTAATATTATCTCATCGTAAAAGCATCAATGTTTTCGGCACAACAGAACAAAAAACAATTGACGAACGTAAGAAAATTACAGATGATTTTAAATGTGACATCTTATTTGTCTGTTGGATCAATTCCCATCTTTAACAAAGAAAGATACTGGTTACTTATAATAGGAAATGTTATGACTCATGAGCAAATATGTAATAACATATTCGGCCAGAAAATAGATGCAATAACTTATTAAGTTCTCGTTTTCAGGAACCAAACCTTTGAGAAAAAAAAACATAACAATGTAAGTTTTACTTTTGTGAAAAAGATAAACTAGCTAAAAACAGTGTAATATAGAGGAACTTTTGCAATCTCTCGACTATTCCTTCACTCTTGACCAATTACGAAACTAATATATAATTTATAAAAATCGTATAAAAGTAATATATAATATTTCAGAGTAACAAATATTCAAAAAAAAGAAAAAGAAATATTATTCGTGGTTAAAAACAGAAACATAATGCCGACAAAAAAAAAAAAAACAGAAACATAAAAATAATGATTATTCCCCTTCGTCTATCCCTTGCATAATTTATCTTAGAACTCTGTTTGAGCTTAAGACGAAATTCTCCTCACCGCCTGCAACCGTAGAGTGGAGTCTCCCGGCGGCCCAGCCATTGTTCAGCATCCGTGCTGGATCACCGGTCACACGGCTTTCTTCAGTACGTGTTTCAAACTCCGGAAGCCCATTTGCTTTCCTCTCTTTCCTTCTCTTTCTCTCTTCATCTCTTTCTTTCCTCAGCCAACTCTCAACTGTTCTCATCAATGACTTCTTGCTTGTCTCCTTCACTTTCTCCATTGGCAATGCTAATTGCAGTTTCCCGTTTGCAACATACACCTGCAGATGTGATGTTATTATGTGTTGTTTGTACGTAGTTTTTAGTAGAGGAGCAAAACAGAGAAATGAGATTTGTGTGGTTATATTACAATGTTTGTTGGCCAATCCTCTAGACCATCAAATATATGAGTAGCGTAGATTATGGTTGCTCCTCGTTCTTCGCATTCCTTTCTCAGAAATTTCAAAAGGTCTGCTCTTGCGAGAACGTCAAGATCAACAGTTATTTCATCCAAAAGGAGAACCTATTCGAGAAAAATTAGATTCAGATGAGTTGTTAAAGCATGTTCCATAATCAGACCCTATTATGATCTAAAGTCCATAGATTTAAGCATCAAAACCATTCTGAAGAATCAGGTTTCACTAAGAATATGTAATTTTGGAGATAGTGTATAGGGGGGTTACCTTAAATGGCTTGAGGAGTCCCATACAAATCTGAACACGTCTTCTCTGGCCATCCGATACCTTGTGCAATCTCCATGAGATATCGATATCCAACACCTGAACCAACCACAATTAGAACAAAACAGAAACGTAGAGAAGAATCACATGCATTTGATGTCAAAGCAAGTCACTTCAGTCCATCTTGTAAAATATAGAGTAATGATACTTCAGACACTTAAGTGCTAGTAAGTTTGGTATGTGACAAAGATCGAAAATTCTCCATGCTCTAGCTGATTTCGTGTTTATCATTGGAATACACAAAGAACAAATGAGTTAATATTATGGCAAATACTTGTATCTGAATCCTTCCCTTAACTTAAAAGAATCACATGTAAAGATGAATTAACAGAACCTTAACCATCTAACCAAAGTCTACTCACCTTGATCAACTCATCTCTTCTCTGAGGATCAATACCAGCCACTCCAAATATCATTTTCTCCGCCGAAATGTCCATTTGTATCGGAACTTCAAATCCTGCAAATGCAACATCACGCCTCCACTGGAAAGAAGAGAGTAAAAACATTGTAATCCCAATTGAATTCAGGCAAAAACGGATTATTGATTTACGCTATATAAAGTTTGAGGTTGAACAATCCCAATTACTATAACTTCCAAATCAGTACTCAAGATTCACACTAAATTTGTCATCCAATCACATTCACAAGGAAAAATAAGAACTCAAAATTCACCACGAACCTCGCCACCGAGATAACAGAGATCACCAGAAGATGTCAATCCGGTATCATGAAACGCCGAGCGACCCAGAACCCTAACCATATGCGGCTCAACCATATGTTTCCCTCCCAATATCTTCAGAATCGTCGTTTTCCCTGATTCCAATCACTCATCTAATCAATTTCAGATCCCATACATACACATTTCAAGCTACAGAGATAAACGAATTTCAAAATACCAGCGCCATTAGATCCGACGAGGAGACACCGATCGCTCGAATTAAGCGTGATTGAGAAATCTTCTATAAGTGGTTTCGATCCCGGTGGTGGATGACCGTCGATTCCAGGATACGTGAAACGTAATCCGGAGATCTCAACCGTTGAATTCCGCTTCTTCTCCTCCTCCATTTTTAGTACTTGTTCTCTTCCCTTACTCTTCTCTCTGCTTTACTTATACTTTTTTCTTCGTCAGACGTTTTTGGTAGTTGGTGAAGAAAGTTACTAACCGACACCGTTTTGGTGACGAGTTTGAACATGAGCTCACGTGGCGCTTTAAGAGACGCTAGTTGACAATTACACAACGTCGTTTAAATGAATTAGGCGACGTGGCGCGAGGAGATACCATCGAATGAAGACGACACCGTTTTAATTTTTATTCATTAAGATCTGTACTGTTTAAGTCCCTTTTTGTTCTTCATCGTCTCACTGATTTCTGGGATTGGATCTTTGAAGATTATCGGAAAACAATGGCGGCGATTTACAGTCTTTACATAATTAACAAATCTGGTGGTTTGATATTCTACAAGGTACGATCTCTCCATCTTTCTCTTGTTCTCGATCTCGCAGCTTGTGGACTTTCCATGTCTAGAGAATGACAAGCTAATTGATGTTAATTTCGACTGATTCATCGATCTTATTCGAGGGATAGAACAAAAGATGAAATTTTGGAGATCAATAGGTTAGAAGAAGGAGTGATTTAGGTATTACTCTAGGGTTTATGAGTAGTTGCTAAAGAATTTGGACTTTTTTTTCAGCTAATTTGGTTCAAGAGAAACATTTAGGGAAAGATAATTTCTTAATTTGGTTCAATTGGAGATTGAAATCTGAAACAGAGACTGTGTTTGGTTTGGGTTTTTGATCTGTTCTGTGTGTATTTGGATTTGGGAAAATTTTAGGATTGTGGAACAAAGGGAAGAATGGATACGAATGATAGCTTGAGAGTAGCTAGTTTATGGCATTCAATGCACGCCATTTCTCAGCAGCTTTCACCTGTTAATGGCTGTTCTGGAATTGAGCTTCTCGAAGCCGACACTTTTGATCTCCATTGTTTCCAATCTCTCCCAGGTAACATACATCGCCAGAACAAGTTATGTGTACTTGTTTTGATTATTGATTTGGCTCTATAACTGATGTCTCAGGAACAAAGTTCTTTGTGGTTTGTGAACCTGGGACTCCTCACATGGAGAGCCTCCTTAGATACATTTATGAACTCTACACTGATTATGTCTTGAAGAACCCTTTCTATGAGATTGAAATGCCTATCCGTTGCGAGCTTTTCGACATCAACCTTACTCAAGCTGTACAGTCAGATCGCGTTGCATTGTTAGGACGATGAGCAAGAGATTGATTGTCTGCTGGGATCATCTCACTTCTTTGCCATTTTTGTGGTTTTCTTATCCTGTTAACATTTTGTTATGTGAGATAATATGTGAACGTTGTAAGGAGACCTAAGTTTACAACTATTAAATTTCCTTCTCTCCCTTACATTGCCAGGAAACTGGGATAAAAAGAAGAGACTCTTTTGTTATACTACCAAACAGCACAATACCTAAACAGACAGATGGTAAAGAGTCTATACATCTCTAGAACCCGGTAAAAAGATCGCCTAGGATAATTTTATGGTTACATAATTGAAGGCCTAGGATAATTAACAGCTTGTGGAGATTTGTTGATGTTGTTGTCAATGCTGACTTGTGGATTCTGCTGCTCTTTCGGTGCTTCCTTCTGGATATGAAGTTCTTCCAGTGTCTTGACGATTTCGTTCATGGTCGGTCTATTCTTGGCATCTATGGATATGCATTCAAGTGCAAGAACTGCAATTTTTAAAGCTCGGGTTAGCGAGTATTGACCTTGGAGACGAGGGTCCATCACTCGGAGAAGCCTTCTTTTGTTTGTTAAGTAAGGCCTTGCCCAATCCACTAGATTGTGTTCTCCTACTGGTTGGTTCTTGTCGATTGCTCGTCTTCCTGACAACAACTCCAGTAACACAACCCCGAAACTGTACACATCACTCTTCACCGATAGATGACCTTTCAAATTTGACAGAAACATCAGAATTGAAGTTCTTCTCTTCATTGATCATAGTAACAAAGAATACTCATATATATACCTGTAGCTAGATATTCCGGCGCAGCGTATCCCTGAGTTCCCATGACTCTGGTAGATACATGGCTATTGTCACCCATTGGACCATCTCTAGCCAAACCAAAATCCGAAAGCTTTGCATTGTAGTTCTGCAGATACAGAGAAACAGTAAGATAAACTTATCTGGCTGCATCCAAAACCAAAGCTACAAAAAGAATCAATCATGTGCCATACCGAATCTAGCAAGATGTTGGATGCTTTGAAGTCTCGGTATATAACTTGCGGTTGAGCATTGTGAAGAAAAGCAAGTCCTCTAGCTGCACCAAGAGCCATTCGAACCCGCGTGTTCCATGAAAGTGGCTGATAGAATGTTCCTCCTGTTTTGAGAAAAAAAGAAAAGAAAGATTAATCATTGTGTATAACAAGTTCTTCCATGAGCTTCTTTCTCTTTGAAGATATTTGAACTTACTTCTGAATAAGTGATTCTCAAGACTACCACGGGGCATAAACTCGTAAACAAGAAGCCTGTGCTCCTCTTCCAAGCAGTATCCAAGCAGTTTCACAAGGTTAGGATGATCCAGCTGGCCTAAATAATTGATCTCAGCCTGTTGTTCTCAAAGTGAAAAAAAAAACCAAAAAAGATGATCACTCACTCAAACTACAAAACCAGGTTCTTCGACAATCTTGAAATAACAAAAAAGGTAGCTTGAGGAGAAAAAATGTGACTAACCAGCCACTCTCGATGACCTTGAAACCCTTCTTGGTTAAGTCTTTTAACTGCAATGACAATCCCGGTCCCCGGTTTAGAAGGAGTGAGTGAGGCCTCATCGATCCAGCCTTTGAAAACACAACCAAATCCACCTTCACCAACCACACTATCAGGCCGGAAATTCCTGGTTGCAGATTTCAGCTCACTGAGACTAAAGTTCTTCAGATTAGCATTTTGCAAGATCTCGCCTTCTGTTCGAGGCATATAAGAGAAGGAGGTGGTCGACGAGCCCTTGCTCCCATCTCTACTCAAGAATTTCGAACTTAACCCTACAAAAATTCTTCTCTCAGAATATTTATAACACAAAAAAAATCCACAAGCCATTGCATTTAGACTCTAATTCTAGAAATAACGGTCTATGAATCTGGTTTTAGACTTTAGATTCTAAAAAGACAACCTTTTTTAGAGAGAATAAAGTGACAGTCAAATCTACTTAGCCGACACTGCGATTTCCATAGATTCAGCTCTTCTTACCAATAATGGAAACATACTATCTTCTACTCTGAACAAGAACTTAAATCTAAAAACTTTCTACTGCATGACTAAGCAAGAGTGTGAAAGAATAAGAATAATTGAAATCTCCACAAGATATCAATCAAATTTAATAATAATAATAAATAAGAGAAAGACAAGAAAATTGACCAAAGAAGACTCACATGTACTGGAAGCAATATCTGTTTTGATCCGATTGCTGAAACAACCTCCCATTAAAACTCAAGAAACTCACTCAGCTCTATAATCTTCTCGATTGAAAGAAGATAAAAAAGATGAGAACTTTATGTGTGTAAACACAAACCCAGTTCAAGGCGTACAAAATGGAGCGAAAATTGAAAAAGACCCTCAAGAAAAAACCCAAAATTCCCAGAGAAAGAAAGAAAATTGAGCTGGCTAATAATCAATAGCCTAACCTTTTGTTCTATGGAAGAAAAGTCTTTGTGATAATAATGAAACTAATGAAATGAAAAGAAAAGAAAAGATGGTTTTTTTGTTTTTGTTTTTTTTAAGCTCTTTCCTCTCTCTTTCTCTCTCTCAGTCTGGGACCTTTTGGGTATGCTCTATTGGACTTTGTCTTCTTCCTCATCCTCCTCTGTTCATCGTTGACTTGTTGACTTTTTCTATAAGACTTTGAGTCTGCTACCCACGGGGACAAATAAACAAATAAATACATTATAATATTATATCATTAAACAAACTAATTGATAACGGATTTCGAAAGAAGGAATAAGATAACAGGCAATAGCTATGGGCCAAGCCCAATATATGGAAGTATTGAACCATAATATAGCTATCAACAGGCTTCATTTTCATCCATGGCCTTGGCCCCTGGGCCACTAATAGTTGATGATGTATGTATATATTTTAAAAACTTCAAAGGTAATGGCATATTGATAAATATTTGACTATAAATAAATTTGCAGAAATTTATATATTTGATTGAAAAATATAATTAATTTTTGGGACATAATTATTTTAAATTTTGTGCATGATTTCATTTTACAATAGTTGTTTTCAGTATATCATCAACCAAATATTTTCTATTTAGTTTATACACTATTGCTATTATTATGATATCATTATTATCTCTGAACTTGACTTCTTCTTTTTTTAATCTCTGGTCTAATGACTATTATTTTTTCCAACCGGGCATTTAAACTAAAAAAAAAAGACTTTGATTCGTGACAAAAACAAAGACTTTTGGTTTTACAATGGTCATTTACCTTTCATGTTTCTCATTACTTATCTCTTGGTGGTGTTACAAAATTGTAAATGAAGTAACTAATTTTCAAAATATGTCATTTATTATAACTTATAAGAAAAAATTAGGAACAAAATTTACAAAAAAAAACGAAATATTTAAGATAATTTTTTTTAATGTTATTAAAAAAAATTATCAAGTATGATCCAAAGATTCTACATTTCTACTAGTAATGGAGCTAGTGAATTTATGATAAAAAGGAATTTATTTAGTAATTGAAAATGTCAACTACTAAACCAAAAAAAAAAAAAAAACATTTAGGAAAGAAAAATAAAAAATCAAAATAGTGACTTTTTCTTCGTTCGTATCTCAATTGTAAAAGAGACTTCCCTAGCTCCGCGAACTGCCGTGGCTTTAACCAATCTCCACCTATAAACTCTTTCGTCGTATTGCTGCAATCGGCGAAATTAGGGTTTGCTCTCAGACAATTGGAGGTATTTCTTCTTCGATTGTTTGGAACCTAAGCCGATTCTTTTACTGAATTCACTCATATAATCATTGTAATTTGAAGTTATCTCGAACGATTCAGGTTTTATTTAGAGTTCGTCTGGCTCTGGTGTGAAGACGATCACTTGTTGGTTCTATCTAAGTCTCATCGTCTTCGTTTTACTCGGTAAGTTTCCTCCTTGGAGGAACAAACCCTGGAGAGTCACAGTTCCGTGTTAGGGTTAAGCAAGTGTTTCTGCAGTGTTGTGTCGGTGGTGGTTTTGTATATCCGCCGCTCGTTAATTGGGGAGATGGAGACCAATTCGCCTCTTTTTGGTTCAGTTCCTCCTAGCTCGCATGATTTGGTCATTGAGGTATTGTTTTAGATTGTACTTCCCGAACTATTGCTGATTCATATGATATTTGTTTTAGTAGCCGTGATTGTGTTTTGATTTTTGATTGTAGTATCTTGTAAGATGCTTGGAGTTAACGTTTAGCTTTTTTTGTTTTGTTTTGTAGAGGCTTGCCTCTGTGGGGGTTCCTAAAAAATACCGCTCTAAACGTGGCCTAGTGGAATTCGTTAGAGCTAACCCGGCCAAGATTTCAGAGTTAGTCTCTGCTCTCTTACCTACAGATGAGGATGTTAAAATAGGATTGAAGGAAGCTAGGGAACGGTCTCGAAAGTCTGCGGTGAGTCCTAGCATGAAAAAGAGGTTCAGGGAGAGCATGAATATGCTCCAGTGGTTGATGTTCCAGGATGAGCCTGATGTTTCTTTGAGGAATCTAGCAAAATTGAATCTTGATCAGCGAGCTGTTTGTGGCTCTGTCTGGGGACACAATGATATAGCATATAGGTGTAGGACATGCGAGAATGACCCAACTTGTGCAATCTGCGTGCCTTGTTTCCAGAATGGGGATCACAAGTCCCACGATTATTCGATCATCTACACAGGTGGTGGTTGTTGTGATTGTGGGGATGAGACGGCATGGAAACGGGAGGGTTTCTGTTCAAGTCATAAAGGCTCTGAACAGATTCAACCCCTATCAGAAAATCTAGCAAATTCAGTTGGGCCTGTACTTGATGCCCTTTTTACTTGTTGGAATAACAAGCTCTTATCTGCAGAAAGTATTGGTCAAAAAGGTGCTAGATCCAACGATACTCTTGTGGTACCCCAAAAGATGTCAAACGAGCTGACCTTTATAGTCGTTGAAATGCTTCTGGAGTTTTCTATGTCCAGTGAGAGTTTGCTCAGTTTTGTTTCTAGAAGGATTATCTCTTCAACTGGTTTATTGAGTATTCTCTTAAAGGCTGAGAGGTTCTTGGACCAAGATGTTATGAAGAAACTACATGACTTGTTCCTCAAATTAATAGGAGATCCAGTCTTCAAGTGTGAATTTGCAAAAGCATTTGTGAGTTACTATCCAGTTGTCATAAGTGAAGCGGTTAAGCAGGGTACTGATAATGCATTCAAGAAATATCCTCTACTGTCCACATTTTCTGTGCAAATCCTCACGGTGCCAACTCTAACACCATTTCTGGTGAAGGAAATGAATTTGCTGGCTATGCTTTTGGGATGCCTAAGTGATATCTTTGTTTCTTGTTCTGGGGAGGATGGTGTGCTACAGGTAAACAGATGTCTTCGTTTCTCATTGTTTGGTTTAGTGATACTTTCTACTCAGTATTTGTATCATTTTAATGGTGATGAGTTTTATTTCCGCTTTCATTGTGCTCCTAGTGAAACATGACGGTTTTCTTTTGTAGGTTACAAAGTGGGAACGGTTGTATGAGGCAAGTGAACGTGTCATTGGAGACTTGAAATTTGTTATGAGCCATGCTGTAGTTTCTAAGTATGCAACACATGAACAACGTGAGTTATCAAGATCATGGTTGAAACTCTTGACCTTTGCTCAAGGAATGAATCCTTTAAAAAGAGAGACTGGAATCCCTATTGAAGAAGAAAATGATTACATGCATTTGTTCTTTCTTTTGGGTCATTCTGTAGCTGTTATTCACTCTCTATTGGTTAATGGTACCTATTCTGCTGCCAGTGATGAAGAAATAGAAAATGAGAGAACCGCCAAGGAAGAATTTGACAAGTGTGATGGACATGGAGAAAGGTATGCAAAAGTTGGAAGATTGTCTCATGAAGATTCGGTATGTACTGCGATGGTAAGCAGCAGCTCCTTTGATAGCTCAATGGCATCTGAAGTCCACAAAATTGATCCTTTCCATGCCCTGCTTCCTTCTTCTGCCATATACTTGATACGCGAATGTTTGAAAGTTTTGGAGACATGCTTAGGAAATGATGAAGGTATATCAAAATTTCTTTGCAAGTTGTCTTCTCCTAGCGGCAGAAACATCCCTGGAAGTAAGATGTCGTGGCCAAGGAGAGATTTGTTAAAGGTTGAAACTGGAGGAAGTGTATCTAGTAATCTTGCCAGTTCGAGTAGAGATCCGAGTACTGGCTTATCACCTCTATGCGGCGATATACAAACAAATCTTAGCTTGGATAATGTTTGTGGACCGTATGGGGTGGTTCAGACAGATGTTACAGCTGACTCTAAAAGAGTATCTTGCAACTCTGCTGATTTGACAAAGAATGCATCAGGAGTACATATACTTGGTCTGTGTGAATGGCCGGACATTCACTATGATGTGAGTTCTCAGGCTATATCAGTTCATCTACCGTTACACCGGTTACTTTCTTTGCTCATAGAAAAAGCATTAAGGGTATGTTATGGAGAATCTGCATCATACAATGGAGTCAGTATTAGTCATGAGAACCCACAGGCAGACTTCTTCAGCTCTGTGATAGGAGATTTCCATCCTTGTGGATTTTCTGCACTCGTTATGGAGCATGTTCTACGGATTAGGGTGTTCTGTGCCCAGGTTATCGCTGGAATGTGGAAGAAGAATGGGGATTCTGCATTAGGATCTTGTGAGTGGTATCGGGCAGTTCGTTGGTATGTGAGAATACTATTGTTTTTATAAAGTGCTATAATTCATCATTTACTCGCATGTTTAACTAGATGCAGCTTTGAAAACTGGTAAATTGGTTGTGAAGATTACTCGTTTCTCATTCTAGTAGTTTCTATTTACAGGTCAGAACAGGGACTTGAGCTTGATCTATTTCTTCTGCAGTGTTGTGGTGCATTAGCTCCCGCAGATTCTTATGTTGATAAGCTTCTCAGTCGATTTGGGCTCTCAAGCTATCTTTCACTAAATCCGGATATAACAAATGAGTATGTACCTATTGTCCTCTTACTGGTGATTGATCTCAGTATATGGTTTTATTGTTCTGCTACATTCAAACTGTCAACTTACCTCGTCCAATATGACTGTCTCTTCATTTAATAGTTCGATCTACATTGGAGTAGAACAAGCATTGTGTATTATTCTGTAAATTTTCTCAATCGCGAATTTATTTATTACTAGATGTTCAGTCCTAATGACTCTCTTGTATCTAAAGATTTAATATTAATCGGTCTGTCTTGCCTCATTTTGACATGATTCTTATCATAAATTTCTTTTCAGGTATGAACCAGTTTTGGTCCAGGAAATGCTTGCTCTTCTGATACAGATTCTGCATGAAAGACGATTTTGTGGTCTTTCTACTGC